AAAATTAGCTGGGCATGGTGACACACACCTGTGATCCCAGCTATTCGGGAGGCTGAGGCAGGAGAATCGCTTGAACCTGGGAGGCAGAGGCTGCAGTGAGCCGAGACTGCACCACTGCACTCCAGCCTGGGTGACAAAGTGAGACCTTGTCTCAAAAAAAAAAACCCACATTGGATATAGATTATATCATTTTAAGTGTTTGCAAATGTTGTTTAAAAAGATAACTTAAAATTCAGGTTTCAAGTTTTACCATCTACCCCTAACTACTATGCAAATCTTTTTCTTGCCAAAAAGCTAGTTGGGGAAGTCCAGGTAAAGAAAGCAAGAAAAGATCTTCATCATTCCAGTGGGAAGAAAATACAGGTTGAATATTCCTTATCTGAAATGCCTGGGGCCAGAAGTGTTTTGAATTTTGAACGTTTCCGAATTTTGGAATATTTGTGCTATATATACTTACCAGTTGAACAACCCTAGTCCAGAAATCCAAAATGCTCTGAGTATCATGTCTGCACTCAAAAAGTTACAGATTTTGGGGCATTTTGGATCTCAGTTTAGGGACACTTAACCTGTATTTCTTTTTATGCTTCTCTTTACTAAAAAAGGTTACTGACAAATTGAACAGCTTTTGAACCAATATGTGAAACTTGGCAACTGTTCCTGGATGAAGTTTCCAGCTTAAAAAGTCATTCATAAGCCACAATTTTACTGAAAATAAAAAATTACTATACTTTAATAAATATTTATTTATGCATATCCAAGGAACATTATAGATTTAACTCTCATTTTAATTCATTATCCATCTCTATTCTTCACACTGATGACCTTTACTGGTCTTTTAATGGTGGCTTAGAAGATTATACAATTATTCTCTCAGCGGGTCCACCTCAAAGTGGGATCTGCTGCTAAATAATACTAATGAATTTAAGATGTCCTTCATTATCTTCCATTGAATGATATACATAACTTAGGAATTCATAAATAAACACAAAAATAAAAGGGTGACACAAAGTAAAAAGAAATATAAATTAAAACTGAAAGATTTCAAAGGTAAAATCAGCCTGTCATGCTTTAACCATAGTGTGATATGTTCTGAACTTAGGATTCCACTTTTCTTTAGAATAAAAAAAGTATAATACTTGGATTTGTAACTCTAACATTTAAAATTCACCCCTTTGAAGAGATGAATTTAAATTCTATAAGTATGTAAACTCTTAATTATGACCATATCCCATACTTCATTCCATTGATTAGCGCATGGCACACTGAGATCAAAACTGTGGGTTCAATTTCCACACAGATCAACTTTGTATCTTACTGTCAATATAAATCCCCACACACTACCAGAGAAGCAACTTGGAGACAATGCTTTGGAATCAGATAGACCTGGGATGGAATTCCAACTTGTCCACTATTAGTCTTGCAAATCTGAATAAATTACTCAAGCATTCTGAGCCTCAGTTTCCTTCTGTAAAATGTAGATAATACCTGTTGCAATACCATTATCTTGAGGTAAGTATAAATTGAATTAGGTATAACATGCTTGCAAAGAATTCAGAGCAGTGCCACACATAGGCCCTCGAGAGGTTTCAGCAGGTACTATGGGCCCCCTTGCTGTAGGAGGTTAGTGCAGGGCACTGGGTGCAAAATGACACGCAGTGGTCAGAATGCTCGGTCTAGGAAAAAAGACTGCTTATTGATTTCCAACTGACTTTACATACTTTAATAAGCAAGGATAGTCCTGGATCCTGAGAATCTCTATTATGCATTAAACATTCTTACATGCACTTTATTTTGGAAGGGCAGTGACTTTTATTTAACTCTCCACTCAAACCTTCACAAAAATAGCTTTATGACATAGAAACAAGACTGTTATTGCCCTCACATATGAAGCCATTACTATACTTCCCTTGAAACATGTAGGTTATTTATTTCACTTCTTACCTTTTCAATTTTTTCATCCAGCATTCTGAAGAATTCTTGTTGGCTTTCAGAGATGTGCATGCTGAAAAACAAAGGGTAGTTAAGTGCATATTTTAGTGTTTTGCTAAACCTGGTCTCCTCAAAGGAAAAATGCTGAGTCCCCAAACTTTGGGGAAGACATTTATTTATTGCAGACTTTTCCACTGAAATACTCTGAAGTTACATTAAGGATAAACAGTACAGTATTCCTGAAAATGTGTTTCATAATAGTCTATCAGTGCCTATGACTTAAAGGAAGACAATTTCCTTTCAATGTACAGATGCTATTTATAGTAACGTTACTGGGAGCTGCATGCCAAATTCTTTCTTCAGATACACATTTGTGATTTTAAAAAAAGCATGAGCAAGCAGCACATGGCACATTTCAACACTGTATTGAAAAGAAAAATAAAAAATAAAATGTATCCTAGTTATTGTATTGAAATATAATTTTACAGAGGTGGTCAGTATCAGCATGATCTCCAGCTGACTAGGGGTGTGGGCCGGTGGCAAACAAGCTGAGGATATACAGATGACCTGATATTACTCCTGAGCACGTTCTGCACTGGTGGCAGCAGATACACCTCTGAAAACACAATTCCACTGGAACATGGGAGGATGCATGTCTGAGTAGCACTTGCTCTGTGTTTC